CAGTTCACAGCCTGAAGACACTGATGTGATGGACGTGTCACTCTTACTCAGAGTTTTGATGGCTTCCTTCAAGTTATCTCTCAGCTCTGCTAGTGTTCCAGCTAAAAGTAAAACAACACAAGTTTACATATAATTGATAATTAACAAAACCTCCAGAAACCAGTACATGTATTTTGTAAAATGTTTGTTTCTTTTGTCTCTAACTTCTAAGTCTACAACATGAACTTTACTATTTCTTTAGTAATAGTGAAAGTTCATCTGAGTTCAAGTAGAAATCATTATGAACAAGTCCTACATGCATGCCCAAAGAAAGTTATAGTAACTTAAAACAAGTATCTTGTCTCATTTAAACCTTCTTCCCAATGCCTAACCCTATAACTGATAAAGAATTGGTAACCAAGTACATTTGTAGCTACTTCAGTGTGCTAAATGTTAACACTGACTTAGGGCATAATAACTTATGAAATAACGTTAATAATATAAGAAATGAGGAAAGTTATTTCTGTTAACGGTCAAATATAACAGTTTGGGGCAGAAGTGGGCATGATTGATTGATATATGTATTTATGCTTGAATTTGCCCCCACAAAAATTTATGTTTGAAAAGTTTGAATTTTGCCGCCACAAAAATCGTCCACAGGTGCTAGAGAAGAGGAAAAACCTGTATGGTAAGATCTGATCCGCAGAAAACAAACTAAGGGGGCGTGACCCCTTATTTGTCTGGTCACATGCCAGCAGTGAAAGTATTCCACCATTTTGTTGTCCTCGGGCCATATTGTCTTCAGCTTGACAAGACAAGGGGAGCACTTCAAAAGGCCTTTATTCACAGGATGGACCAAATACATACCATACATGTTCACCAAATTGTGCATAATATTGTGTTACAGTATTAACATAAATTTCTGTTAAGTCCTTTTTATTATTGTAGTGGAAATCTCTGATTAAATCGAAACCTTTCACAACTGCTGAACATTTGTACCTCATTAGAATTTCGTTTCAAGAATAGTAAGACATTTGAGACCATCCTATTAGTATCAGGTGATTGTCCTGCTTGGCAGACTGCCCTAGGTGAGGTCTGAAACATCGCGATGGCAGCTGTGAACAGAAGTTGAGCAAACCTCCCAAAAGCTAGAAAAAAGTAGAGATCATGACAGCAAATATCATGTATAGTTGACATGAAGTCAGGACTCTGCTTGTCTGTTATGTGGAGTCCTCTCCTGGCTGAATCTTACTCCACCAAGGGACACTGAGTGACTCCAAAATGGCCGACACTGCCGGCATGGCAGCACCAACGCCTGCGACGCCAAACGTTCCTTCCAAGGAAAAAAAGGACGGCGACAAAGACACCGATGGCTCCGCACAACAGTTTGACGGGATGGCTGAGTCCCTCAAGGGGTCTACCAAGGACTGGAGCAAGTTGAAGACAGCAGAAGGAATCATGGCAGCTATGTTCTCTGGAGTCCTGATCACTGTAGCCAGTATATACACCAGACTGGCAGGGGACGAAGGCATGCCCGCGATTCACTCTATCTTCATGAACGAGCTAATGGCGGCTATCGTGTTTCTACCCATGCCGTTTCTCGTAGGGGCGCCGATTACCGGGAACACGTGGACAACAGTTGTAATGTTATTCATACTGGGCATAGGCAGGATTATTGCGTTCATTTGTTTCTTCATCTCGGTGCTATACATCCCGCCAGCGAACAGTTTCGTGATCCGACACGGAATCATCCCGCTGCTGACCGCGTCCATGGAGGTGCTGTTCGTTACGGGTGGCGCCGTCCGTCGCCGAGGTGGGTCGGGATCGGCTTGAGCATCGTCGGCGTGGTCCTCACCGCGAGCGGACGCTCGTGGATAAAGGAAGACGAGGAATTGTACCTTAACATCGTAGGTAACATGCTAGCCGTGATCTCGGCTTTCGGACTAGCCGGACTCATCATCATGACACGTTACCTTCTAAAAACCCTCCCGATATGGACTCTACTTTTCTACATCAAACTCATCGGTATCATAGTTGCCGTACCACTTCTCTTCCTGGATCCACCATTCACGACTGGAATGAACTCTGATCTAAGTTACTACCTAGTCACCCAGGGCTTTCTATACACTGTTGGTATAGGTATTATGTTTCATAGTTTGACGTTAGAGAATGCCTCTACTGTAGCACTGGTGAAAAACATCAGCATCCTTGTGGCGTTTGCACTGGAACGTTACGTACTTGGTATCATCCCAACAGTCATGGAATTGCTAGGGGCTGTCCTGGTTATTGGGAGTACTACTGTTGTAGCTATTGTATTGTGGTTCAATAAATGGAAGGAACAAAAAAACAGATAAGATTTAAGAACTACAGTAAGTGAAGCAAGAGTGTAACATGCTGTTCTGTGCTGCAGTGGTTGATCGTTGTGCTTGTTGACCACAGGGTCAGGGGTTCGAAACCCAGAATCTAGCTGTCAGTATTAAGAACCCAGAGTGCATGCTAAAGGTGTGGGTTAACTAACTTACAGTTACAGTTGAAGGGAAAAATGTAACTGTTTGTCAAAAGGGCTGTTATGAAGCTTCTATATTATTTGTCATACACATAGTGTGTATAGTTCAGGGTGAAAACTATCAGCAAAGCTTGATACATTATGATGTAAGAGTATACACAGTACTCCAACTGGTGTAAGAATACGAGATATTTCTTTGTAATGCTATAGCTAAAATCTTTAACATATATATATATAGGTGGTGTCTGTCTTCAGGGCAGTATATAGATTAAAACCAGTGTAGTTAGCTTTATAATTTTCTGAAGAATATGAGATACTAGTATTACTGTAAGGATGGAGAAAGCTGGTGCTGGAAACAATTATTGTAGTCCCTGATCCTCAAGATAAGGATGGGACATTAGGTGAAGGAGAGTAAGATAGTTTCTTGAAGGCAAAGTTTTTCAACGCACATGTATTATATGGAACTCCAGGTTGTCACATTCCTATAATGAGTACATGTATGTCTCACATACTGCCTATGTTGTATCAAAATGGTAAACTAATCCATACCAATAAAATCCAAATACCAAACAGAATCAAAAGTGTGTATCTGGCTTTGTATGTTCTATCTGACATCTGCCACCCTGTCTTTTTCTCTCGAATTATTCTACTTAACAGAGCAATTTGTCATGGTGTGAAAACTAGCTTTTACAAAATTGCTATTCAGGTGTGACAAGCTATTCAGTAGCCGATTATGCCTGATGCCTTAACAAAGCTAGTTACACTCCAACAGGTTGTTCCAGTAGACCAAAAAAAAAGATATTAAAGAAATGGGAACACACCAAACTTAGATATACTTTTAAGACTTAAGTATTTGAATATATAGGGGGGTCCTTAGCATGCTCCCTTGCAGCTGGCAAATATCTGAGATTTCAAGCCTTCAAAAACACAATTTCCAGCATTTTGTGAGTCAAATCACGGGGTTGACAGTTGGTCCTTTCGATGTTTTTATATTTTTACCCAAGATTTTTGTCTATTGAGGTTGACCAATTTGTTAAGAAAAAATTCCTCCACATGTCGCAAAGTGCCGGCAATTGACGGAAACATTTTTAACAGGCGCTGCTAGAGCCTTATTGGTGAGTCGTGTGGGTAGCGTGTTCGGCTCACACCCCAGAGGTCGTGGGTTCGAACCCCACCTTGTCACTGAACTTGTGCCCTTGGGAAAGGCACTTTACACGAATTTCCTCACTTCACTCAGGTGGAAATGAGTACTAGTATCTAGAGCTTCGGCTAGGGACGTTAAATGGAGGTCCCGTGTTTGGGGAGAGACACACCCCACGCATGTTAAAGAACCCACCACACCTTTCCAAAAAGAGTAGGGGCAATGGGGCATGCCCCGGTGTGCGATGGTACAAACACTACTGTATGGAGTTGGTGATTCACTTCAGACCACCCGAATGGAGGCGAACTTCTAGATCTGTCCTGTATCAGCCACATGGTGATTACGTCATCACCTGGACGGAGGCCTGGCAAACTCTGTCTTGCATTATTAAGCTAATGAAAGCGTATGTCACCTCGTAAGGGGCGGTATAACCCCAACCAATACGATCGACTGATGATGATGATGATGATAAGAGCCTTATTACCACCTCACCTGTGTTCTGTTTGAGGAACAGCATGAGTACATGTATAGCTGCCACAGCTGCTGACATCTGTGGGCTCTCCTGTTGACATCGGATAAACTGTTCAAGGATCTCTGCAAAACAGGAGTAAATATGTCTAGAACAAGAGATGGCAGACTTCAGCCCCTTTGTGATCCTTGAAGGCTTCCAAATACACACACACACACACACGAACAAACACACATCCACACACACAAACACTGACACACAGACACACACACATACACACACACACACACACACTGACTCACACACACACATACACACACACACACTGACACACACATACACACACACACAACTTGACACACACATACACACACACACACACTCACACATACACACACTGACTCACACACACACACACACACACACACACACTGACACGCACACACACATACACACACACCCTGACACACAAATCCCCCCCACCCACCCCCCCCCCAAAAAGTCACTCCCTTATGGTAAAGCACAATTAAACCACATTACACTAAGTATCAAATGAATTGTGCAGACTATCACAAAAATAAAGTTTATGACATCTGTTCAAATTATCCAAGATATGTAAAATGTGCCACCTACCTTCTTTGTTCATCTTTTCTATCTTTTTCTGACCTACCAACCTCAGGAACGTTTCTGTACTGTTAAGTTTCAGAGTAAGATATTGTCCAGACGGAAAATATGTTGCAACCAAAATTTTACTCAGTGTTGCAAGACAAAATGTACACATGTTACGCACTGGACCATGGGAAGGATTCAACACCTATTTCATAACATCAGTTTTCATTGGCTAGCTGGATAGAAGACGTTCGTCGTTGACCAATCACATTGACTTTGATGAAATGTCTTCGGTATTGGTCACATGGCAAAACAACATGGCGGAAGGTAGGTCGGAAAAAGTTGTGAGTGTTGGAGTTTGGTGTTTTTTCTTCTGCTTTGTTGCATTGATACGGCTTTTATGCAGGCAGTACGATTTTTGTTAGTAATGGGGAACTATTGCCTACAGATAAGTACGACGGTTGGGTCGCGAATGTGGTCAATACGGAGCTAATACGGGGTAAAGCCGTCGCCCCCCTCCCAACATGTCTATGCATCTGCATCTGTAAATCATGTGTCAAAATTATATGCCTTAAATTTTCCTCATCGCTTCAACGACAGAAAAAGTATGTAAGTCAATGCGCAAAACCAACTTTTGGTACACAACGTAAAATCTCCAAAAAACATTGCTATTTAAAAGCTAGCGCTAGCAGGCCGATTTTAAAAGTACATATTTTCATGGAAATATACAAAGAAAATATAGAAATATACAAAGAAAATTTAGAATTAATTTTGAGAAACCAACCTAAACAAATCTAGAGTATTAAAGTAATGCAATAAAGTACTAATTAAGGACCCCGCAGTCTAGATTTACTTGATTCCATCCTACACGTTGCTTTGCTCGATATCATATGTAACATAAGAAAGTTAAACAAACAGTGCCAAAAAAAACATTGATTCTCCTACTCATTACATTTTCAGGAGAGGAAAACCTGCTGGTGGTCATCATAGACTGTAACCCAGTCTGGTGGGGCAGGAGACAACAACAACAGGCAGAGGTATGGACGTTTTAACTTTACAGTGTCTGAAGGTTTTTGTTCACCTTTTTACTAAAATACTAGTCGTGGTTGTCCATCGTTGCCGATGATGACTTCTACGTTGCGCCCTCTTCTCATCTTTTGTGCACCCGCATGTGGCTCAGGAGTCCAACTCTGGATCTGCAGGGTCGTCCACACTGCTCGCAGGTGAACTGGAACGGACTCTGCTCCCTGGTCACTGCTGCTGCTGCCGCTGCTTTGTGTCTCTGTCTATCCTCAACAATATTTTTACGACGTGTCCTTTCAAAGTTCTCCTGCGCAAGCTTGGTCAGCGAGCGCCAGCCACAGCGGTCCTGTGCTTGTTTCTCAAGTTGTTTAGGGGGTATGTCAGCATACTTGATGTTCTCCTTGATACTGTCTTTAAAACGTTTCTGAGGCCTACCCCTCTTTCTTTTCCCCTGGCAAAGCTCGCCGTACAAAAGTTGTTTAGGGATCCTAGAGTCATCCATACGGATGACATGTCCTGTCCACCGCAGTTGGGCTTTGAGTATGAGAGCTTCAATACTGATGGTTTCCGCTCTGTCAAGAATCTCAAGGCTAGACACCTTATCCTGCCAACGAACTCCAAGGATCGAGCGCAGACTGCGCATATGAAAGCGCTCCAGTTGCTTGATATGTCTCTTATACAGAGTCCAAGTATCACAGCCGTACAGGAGGCTGGGGATAACAACTGCGTGATAGACTTTCAACTTCGTGGATAACTTAACGTTATGCTGTTTCAAGACTCGAGTTCTCAGTCTGCCAAGTGCTTGGCTGGCTTTACAGATCCTGCTGTTGATCTCTTTATCGAGGGAGCCGTCATTGGAGATCACACTACCAAGGTAAGTAAACCCATCCACGGTCTTCAGTTGAGTACCCTCGATTGAGATACACGGGCCACGGGCTACAGAGAGTGGTGCAGGTTGAAGCAGAACTTCTGTCTTGCCAAGACTAATGGTGAGTCCAAAGAGGTCCGCTGCCTCAGCAAATTTGTTGACGAACATCTGAAGGACTGGCTCCTTGTGGGCCACCGAGGGCGCAGTCGT